GCAAGCTGGGTACTCATTTTCCCGACCTCGGAAGGATAGAAGGCTGAGTCAACCTTGAGCCGGCTACCTGGGATTTGAACCCCAGGTCATGAGCACAGTTTTGGCTGCAGTACAGCAGTTTAACCACTGTGCCACAAGGCTCTCTGCCACTCAAGCATGGTTCTTCTGTTTTTAAAAACACAGTTGTGTGTTTCTTTTCTGACAAGGAAAGCTTTAGTTGGGATATGAGCTGCCATCCTGCACTTCTTCACCAGGCAAGATGAGAGAAAAGGTTACAGACATTGGATGTACTCTGTTTATAATTTCACACAGAATACATGTTTAATTGTACTTGTTGCAGTTTTTATTTTAACAATGCTTTCATAAGTTAGAATTGGGTAGCTGCCTCACATCATCACACACAGAGAGGTTTAATAGGCAAATAAAATCAGATGATGCTGTTAGGGAAACACATTTGCTGATTTTGTTTTTCAGGGAGGTGGTTATTGTGTCCCCTCACTGGAAGGACAGATCCTGAAGCTGAGGCTCCAATACTTTGGCCATCTCATGAGAAGAGAAGACTCTCTGGAAAAGACCCTGAAGTTGGGAAAATGTGAAGGCAAGAGGAGAAGGGGACGACAGAGGACGAGATGGTTGGACAGTGTTACCAAAACTACCAACATGAATTTGACCAAACTCCGTGAGGCAGTGGAAGACAGGAGGGCCTGGCGTACTCTGGTGCCTGGGGTCACAAAGAGTTGGATGTGACTTAACAACTAAACAACAAAGTTATTGTGTCCCTATAAACACTCCCAAAGGGGCCTTGGGTTCAGGTTCTGGGAGAAAGGTAGCATATAAAGAAAACAAACCAGGAAGAAAGAAGTGTAGCTGTGTATTAAAATAGTTTCACCTGCCTTGAGACCATAAGGGCAATTATCTCATTTTCCTGCCAAATCCTGCTGAACAAAATCCGAAGGTGAGAATGGAAAGGTCTACAAATGAACTATCCAGTTACACTTTCATATGCCTTTAGGTAGAAGGAAGTGGTGTCACACTTTTCTTCAGAATAAAGTGTGAATTGTTTCTGTTTAAAACTGTTTAAAGAATGTAGCAATGCTTGTCAGTTCACTTCGGTGACTGTGAAGCTATAAAACCTTTAGGGAACCTGTATTAGTCCCTGGAGAAAAACTGGACCCCCAGACTAAATCCATAGCATCATTCTTGTATAGCCAGGATGATGATTCAAGAAGTAATATCTCTAGTAATGTATTTGTCTTTAATCATGGTCTCTAAACCATACAAGAGTTCTAAGAGATTAAAACTATTGGTAAAATGAGATTAGTTCTAATATCTCTATAAAATGAACATCGAAGGAGCACATTCTCTGTTGATTCTATGTGGCCAAAAGCATTGTCTCTCCACGTAGGGGATCCTCCAATATCACCCCTCAAGAACAGCTGAGGGGAGGGCATGACATCATGCCAGAGTACAGGCCCTCCAATGGTTTGGTATCTCCAGTTTGGATAGATATATCATAGGGGAAGCAAAATACCTGCTACTAAAAGTTGGAGATCTGGCTAAATCCAGTTGTTACTCTGTGTCTATTACCCACTGTTTAATGTGTGCTTTGGCCTGATCATATCCCATATGGGGTAGGAGACCTGGGAAAAAACCCAAGGATGAAATTTTTGATACCTTACTTCTACCCTGTCTGATCAGTTGAAATTGTATTAGTCCTTGATACCACTCCCACTGTTCATTTATTAATTACTTGCATACATTGTCTGTACATGGCTCTCCTCCTCCCCGCCATCACAATGACTTTGCAAAGTGGTTCAGGCAGAAAGAGAGCGAGTTTCATGGTAGAGTGGAGAGCTTAACTACGGATCTCCTATGTTGCTGCATAACATTCTAGACCACACTGCACTCACTGGCTTTCTCTTTCTTGGTTTCCTCTTTCTTTTTGTCATCATATTAAGCTTTCTATGTTTACTTCAAAGAGAGTTGTGCACTAGTTACTGAAAATAGTGACCAAATGAGTTGAAGAAGGAGCATTTGTGATGGAATTATTGCAACCCTCGTATGATGCCTTTAAGAGGTTTTGGCTGGAAGGGACCTTTCTAGGGTGGGTTTGTTTGTTTGTTTATTTGTTTATATACTGCCCATCTTGCAGCCAAGGCCACTCAGTCAATCCAGCAGCAACCAATTGTTCCCTCTCTGCCTCAGATTTTGAAGATAGACACACCTCTCTCCCCAAAAATCCTTTTTCTGCTATTTTTCAGTCAGGGGTCAGTAAAAGTGTTCAGTTAATCAGTTAGTCTATCAGTCAGTTAGTTAGAGTCAGTCCTATAGTTAGCCAGTAAACAGACTATGAATCAATTAAGTTCTTCTTGTGTAACCATTCATTATTTTTCTACAATATGCTGTTTTCGATCTGTTCAGAAATGTGAGTAAATAGAACCTTTTATTTTTTCTCTTACCAGTGTCTCTGAATGAATTATTGACACAGTAAGTGTCAGTTGATGAGAACAAATAAGAAGAGATGGTCTGCTGTGGGAACACATGAAACTAATCTTGGTCTGTAGGTCCCTGAACTTTTTTACACTACATTTAATTTTTTAATCCATAATATTTCCATACTCTGCCAATAATTCGTACCTTGCCAGAGCAGATCCAGGATAATTCAAGAAGCAGCTGGTCATGCTGACATTTGTTAGGATACTATCCCCTATGCCTTCTCTCATTCTTATTATTTATACTGTTTGGTGCACTGTGTGAACAACATGGAAGAAACCACAGAATTTTGCTCCAACATTTTGGGAGTTCAGAGTGCTGGCATCTGAATAGAAAAACTTTGTGCCAGTAACTGTAGCTGGGGGGCGGGGGGGGGGAGAGGAAATCCCAAAGCAGGAGGACATTGAGAACTGAAGACCTACATGAAATCCAAAACATGTCCAGTCACTGAGCCTTGAAGGGGACTCAGATCAGCCTCATCAGGCTCTTTATATTCCATCCACTGGACTGAGCAAACCGTTTTTGTCCAGTTGCGTCAAGAGGAATGTGCTAGATTGTTTATTAGGTTGGCTACATCTAGAATTTTCTTGCTCTTAAAAAAAACTACATTGAGGCTTCATTACACTTAGGATGAAGTCTTGTGTGTCAATGTGGGTTGGGCGACTGGCTGTCTTGTGCAGTTTTGATTGGATGGGTCAAAGGAGTGCTAGGGATTATCCCCTCTTCTACTTTTTTAATGCTTTTAACATCTGTCACTGTTCTTTAGTAGCAAAGCCATTTTTTTCTTGCTGTGGGTGCATGTTCTACAGTGAGTGGATGCCAAACACACAGCACTTTGATAGCCAAGTAGTGAGTCGGCACACTTGGGCAAACCAGGCCATTGACTGGCAATATGTGTGTGTGTGTGGGGGGTCATCTTCCCCCAGCCTCAACAGGTTTTCTCCCTTTCTTCTCATTACTGATACTGTTTGGTGCTCTGTCTGGGCACCACAGAAGAAACTTCTGCCTGAATGTACCTGACTGCTGTTTTACTCCATGGAACAATGTAGACGTTCCTGTGCTACTGAGACCAAGTGGGTTCTTATTTTCCTTTGTTGTGGGTGTCAAATAAGTCACACTTTGATTTAGACTAGGCAGTGAGTGGGTACAGTTGGGCAAGCCAGGATACGGACTGGGGACACTAAAAGAATTTCCTCCCATCTTTGGCCGTGGTCCCTTGCTTTCCCCCTTTAAAAAAGAAGATTAGAGTCATGGGTTATCTCCTCTATTTCTTAGTGACATCCAGTTTTCTTTCTTTACAGTTTCCTGTGACCAGATGATCTTCCACTTCACGTCTGACACCCTTCCCTTGCCCAGGGGGGCCTTCTTTCCCTTTTGCCTTCTCTACACTTGCTTCCTGCTGATTCTTCTCTGTGTAAATCTGAGTACAGGGCCCCTCTTATGTTTGGACAGAACCTGCTGGATTTAGATAAAAAATAATTAATAATAAATTACAGCCATACTACTTTCCATAACACAAACCTGAGCCAGAATAATTGTCATGACTTCCCTCACATCCTACACTCTGTACCCCAAGAGTTCTGGTGTCATGGGGAGGTTAAATCTCAGGCCCAGAATAATGAACTGATACACTCATGAAATTGCCATTTTCAACGTGAGTGTCCTGAATGAATGAATGAATTATATTATATTGTATTTCAGCATAAACAAACACCCAGATAGACCTGTTCCAAAAGAATGCTTGTGGAGTTCCAGATGCAAGAGATGGAAACATCTTTTACATTCACTGGCATAAAGAAATGTGTCCCAACAATGTGAAATAAAAAGAGGACAGTCTAGGAAGCTCCAGGACTCGCAACCCTCCTCAGGAGTTTGTATTTCTCCCTTCTCCCCACCTGCTACAGGCACTCTGTGCAGATCCCAGTGCTACTAGTGTGTTTGTCAATATTTCAAAGATGAAGGAAATGATTCTAGAATTCAGGAGCGCCCCCCCCCCTTTTGGCATTCTTTATTCCTGCGGATTTTTTGGCCTCTTCTTCTGATTTATTTATTTATTAATTTTTGGTCTAATATCCCTCACACCATGTCAGTGTTTGTTAGAGTCCATGATGCCTCTTGTGTTCTATGTTAATGTTATCGAATTACAAGTACTGAAGGTGCAATGCTATTTATACGCTTTTAAGTGTCATTGAATCTGATATTACAACTCCAAACACATGTGCACACGTGCAAGTAAAATGCACAAGTGTGTTCTAGTGATGAGTGCATATTATGCTTACAAGGCACCAAACTGTTAGTCCCCACAGGATTCAAACAGTATGTTAGAAGAACAGGTTTTTTTTTTAAAGTTAGCAGATAATGTGCCAGTTTGGTCCAAGAAACATATATAAGCAGTGAACTCAGAGCCCTTGTTTAGAAGAAAGGACTCTTTTCTCCTGCCACAGCATCTTCTCCTGTCAAGCTAATCTACCCAAAGTAAAACAATCAGAATACAGGTAGGCACTTTTCTTTCTTTAAAAAACACATCCAGATTGTAATTGTGGTGGGAAGAATCATGGTATAATATTCAGATGAAAACTCAGAAATGTCCAGGCCCATGGTAGGGTCTCTCATAGATATTCCTCACATATCATGTTGCTAAGCGACACTTAGCAATATGAATCCTTCTCCTCCTGCCATTCAGGTACATCTTCAATGCATTTTCCTTTTGTCTTCACAATGTGGCATTATCATTTGAAGCTTTACAGGTGTCAGACCTGGCTGGAGGCAAATCGTGGGAAATGTGCATCAGCCCTGCAGAATATAAATGACAAGACCCTGGTCAAAAAACACTTTTATGTCAAGATTGTATATCTGTATATATTTTTTTTGGTGTGCGGGGGAGGGATTCTGTTGCAATCAATATTACATGTGTGTTGCAGCCTGGCTAAAAGAGATATCAAGGTCTCTTGATCTACATTGTTTGAAGAAATGACGTTGCTGGTGTTAGTCCTTCATTATGCTCTTCGGAGCAAGTGAATACGTTCAAGGCACATTACTAGAACTAAGAAAGGAAAATGACTCTCTCTATGTGCACAGCCTCTCCTTTTCCTTCAAAGTTATAACTGAGTGGAGAGCAACATATAACATCAAAGGCTAAGGGTAGGTATTTTGAATATGTTTAATGCCACCAGTGATGTGTTATATTTGTCCACAACAACAGTCAACCAAGGGTAGCTGTGAGAAAAATGAGAGTTGTCATTGCAGGCCACCTGAGGGGAAAGGACCTTCTCAGGCAAAAGTGGCCCTCAATGGTAGGACTGTCATCCTAAACCCTGCAGAAAGGGCAGACTAACTTGAGGCAATTACTGCTTTAGCATAGAACCAATGGAGAGAGCATCTGAGACTATGATGACACGGTCAAGTATTGTGGGATTTGGTACAGCTGGAAAACAGATGCATTCTTCTTCTTCTTCTTTTTTACTTATCACATGAGGCAAAGGCCAATTTGAATCAGTCTGGCCCTTTTTGCTCCCAGTGCGGTGTTTCCTTCTCTTCTGCTGGGGGCTTCAACTTTTTTTTAAGTCAGAACAGCTCAAATGGGCTTTTCCCTGTCTGATAAGTTGTTTTGTTCTCGAAAAGTATTGAGTGTTGCAGTGTGGTGGTATTTATTTCTTATTTATGTATTTTATTTGTTCAACTTTTATACCACCCATCTGGTTACAAGACTACTTTTGGTTGTTTACACACAATAGAACAATGACACATTAAAGTATAAAACATCACCAAACAAGTCAAATTAAAAATTACAAAATTCAGTAACAAATATAGAACATAATTATATACAAAATCAAACACAAGATTGAAATCAGAGTCAAGATTACAGCATACACAGTAAATAATATCAACATAGACATGAAAAACAGTTTGAAAAACAAGATGGTGGACCACAGATAAACACTGAAAAGTACAACTACCTAAAGAGCCGTGTCTTCAAAGATTTTCTAATTCTGGTGATATACTGAGTAGGGTATGATGTTTTGGACAGCAAGAACACCCACCTCTGCACTCTTTCTCCCTAGTCACCCCAAAGCATTTTTATATATATTTAAAACAAACTACCATGTTTAGTGCTATATCATGTTAGCATCACATTGATACACCAGTTTAGCGCTGTATCACCTCTGCATGGACAAAAACAAGATAAAAATTGATACGAAATAGAAACAACTCTGATGAACTAAAGTGAATGATTATGTTTCCACAGCATGTACGCATGTGCTTGCAGTTTATGAAGAATTTTGGGAAGTGGTCCCTTTGTGGTCCCCGTGTAACCCTTTAAACAGCCCACCAGCTTTACAGTGAACCATAAAAGGGGAGCTGGGGATTGGTAAAGGATGGGATCAAAGGAAAGGGGGTTGTGCACTGTGGCATGGGCCAAAGAGCAACAGACTGAGGAGCCTGTGTGGACACCGGCACTGAAACAATCTCTGCGTGATCACCTAATCCAAACAGAAGCATCAAATAGGTTGCAAGTCCAGCTGCAGCAAGACTAAATCACTCTGATTTGGCTTGCCAGTGTAGTTGCAGCTTGCATGTTCCTGTGAAGATGTTAGGCTGAGGAGGCAGAGGAGGCAAAGTGCAGCCACAGGTTCACACACAGACACACACACACACACACAGACACACACACACACACAGACACACACACACACACACACACACACACACACACACACCCACACACACACACACACACAGGGCTGATTTTCAGCTCCCAGTTTTCCTATGGCTCCTTCTTTTTCTGATAAAAAGAGATATTTTGCATCTTCTGAAGTAATGGTGTGTGTGTGTGGGTCACCTTTTAAAAAGGCCATAGTTCTCCCTGTGTCCTTCAATACCCTGGAACTGCCAGTTCTTCAAAATTGCAAAAAAAGACCTCTGGCCAGTTTCTTTTTTGCCATTCAGCAGAGAACTGGCCCCTGAGCCTGTAGAAGTGACTCACCACTGGCCTAGGGACCCAACACCACTGATTGAAATGGGTCAAACCCCCCCCCCCCATATGTAATGGTTTGTAATTGGCCTTCAGAATTGGGAGCTTCAGCTTTCTTGGTAAGAAATCCTCTCTACTTGCCATGGTACTTGCCATGGTAAAATATTTAACCACACTTAAAGTTCAAACCTGCACTTGTGTGGTGATTTTCTGCATGTCTCTGGTCTTGCTCCATATCGTTGGCTTCCAATATTGTGCTGCAAAGATAACTGTGGAATCTCATGACATCATCATACTGCAGTCTGCTCATTCTTCTCAAAGCTGAAACAGAACAGGCAGTTGCCATTTTCAGCTATATATTTAATATAATGGCATACTAGTTCAAAGCTGATCTCCCTATCTTGTAGATTGGCTGACAGTGAGAAAATGTAGTTAAAATAACTGCTAGGCACTGAACACTTCAAATATTTCAAATATGACACTGTTCTGGGATTCCAGGAGTTGTATTCCAATACTTTCCTAAGCTTTGTTTCATCCTCCACAGTCAATTTCTGACTTATGTATGGCCCTATCAATATAAAACGTTACTGTCCGTTTTCTTAAACAGCAGCAGCAACAAAAACAACAGACCTTTCAATTGTCTTTTAAAGGCTGCAGCCACTAGAAATCCTGAGGATAAAGTGCTCTTGAGAAACCTTTGTATCTGATAATATGGATCAAATTTCTACATTATTTAGACCTATAAAAATAAAAATCAAGTAGAGCTTTAGGCACTTTTATCATGTGGATCCATTCAGTGATGTTAAGGCTGCACTTCCCGGCCCATGAAAATGTAGACGCCGCTCTATAAAAGCCGGCATGTTTTCCACTGTTAAAATGACACCACAATAAATTTGTAAGTACCACCTAAAATAGCTAGCTGGGCAAAAAGATTTGCCCTCCCTCTTTTTGCATCTCTGCAACAAGATCTATTGTTTTTCGTTTGCCAAGCATAAAAGAGCTAACGAATGGAGTGTTGAGGAGGTATGGACCGGGATGATGTCAGAATATTTCCAGCAAAAGAAATGTCGACTCCTCTCTGGCCAGGAGCAGGAACTGCCACTTATGTGCTTTTTAACTCTGCCCCAACATTCTTCTTGTCCGGTTCCCACAGACGTGGAGTGGCACTGGAGGTCAGAGTGGACGAACACAAAAGAAGACTCCCTGCTGCCAGACCATCGTGCTGGGCTGTCACTTTGACTAATTCATGACTTCACCTTTAATCTCACAGATCTATTATGGGTTAAAAAGAGACCCATTTTACAGCTGACAAAATGGAAGGGAGGACAGGCCAGGGACCCAGAAAGGGGGTGGGTGGGTGTTTTTTTTGGGGGGGCAGAGCACACGGAATTCTTTCTATATAGCAGCAACCACCTGTTAAAATTAAACTTCCCCCATTCTGTTGCCTTTATTCTTTAGCTGACTGCATATGTCATGTACAAGAAACGAGGATAAATTCTATCAATTCCAAATCAAGCAAATAATTTGATAAGGCACATTGTGAAAGAATAAAAGGAAATAGGGAAGGTGTCAGACAGCATCCTATTTCTGCATCTAAAATATATACATATATAAAAAAAGAGGGAGAGGAGTTTTAAATGGCTCCTCATTGTGTCCTTGGTAGTTTTGCAGTCCTGAATAAGATCACCATTGGGAGACAGGATTAAGGTTAGCTAATACCTTGAAAATATTTATATCAAGACTTGGCTAATTAAGTTACATGCAGGGCAATAAACACACTTTTGCAACTATTATTGTGTGTGCATGAGAGTGATTGTAGCAATAAAGTTATTTATTTTTAAATATATTCATATTGCAAGGTCTTTTCTACTATTTTTTAAAATTTCCAATTATACTTAAAATTTTTTTTGCCTACTTCAGAAATACTGGATTTATTCCAAGAAATAATTAAGTATGCTTTGTGGTGGGTGATGGGCACTGTCTTCAAATAGAATTCTACTTCATGATTATTTTTGTTAATAGGGTAATCAATTCAAATATGTATTTACCAAAGCTTTTGTAAAAATGAGTCACAAGGTGTTTTATCACATGAAAAAGCAGAACAAATTGTGTTTGTGAAAGGGGAGGGAAGATAATATATTTGCCAGTTCAACATGCTGGTATTTCACACAATGTACTCTGACTCATCAGGTACTAAAAGACAGAGAGTGTGACTACGTGGTCAAATACTGGAAGATTTGCTTCATTTCTAAAATGGACGAATTTGAAATATTTTTTACTGATCACATGATACAAAGGCTGAGTCGAATTGGCCCAACCCTTTTTGCTCCTGAAGTGGTTTTTTTTTTCCTTCTGCCACTGGGGGGGCTTCTACTTTTTCAAGCTGGAAAAATTCGAACAGCTTTTTTTCCCCATACAGTTAGTTGTGATTTGTTCTTGTAAAGATGGGGACCAGTGTCTGTATGTGGTGTTTTGGTGATGTAGGCAGTTGGGACATGATGTTCAAGCCAGGGCAGTGATACGCAAAAGCAAAGCACTGTGATTTTAATGGGGAGGGGGAATCAAGTCCTAGTCCTGAATCCTGTCAGATTGTGTGGGAAGGAGCTTTTGTTGTGAAGCAGAGATGGGCACGAACCAGAAAAATTACGATTCACGGTGGTTCGTGTTCCGTGGCTATCCATGAACCACAAACTTTCCAAACATTTTTAAAAAACAAACCACAGAATTGTTTTTTTAAAGAAAGTTCATGCCCGAGAGGAAGGGAAACTGAACCCCCCCCCGCCACCAGCCTGTCCCCTTCCAACTGCCCCCATTGTCTCCCTACCTGGTCCAGGCACCTCCTCTTCCTCCATAGTCATTTTGACTGCAAATGGGCAATCCAGTGCCGATCCCGCACTGTGCGGTATTGGGTTGCCCATTTGCAGCCCCACAGACTGCCCCCACCCCCTTCCCATTGCCCCCGTTGCCTCCCTACCTGCTCCTGCCTCCTCCTCCTGCATCGTCATTCTGACTGCAAATGGGCAATCCAGCACTGCATGGCTGCACAGCTTACAGGGAATATTGGTCCCAGCTGATCTCCCTGATCAACTGGGACCCTGGCGCATGTGCAGAGATCACAGGCCTGGCTTGCACAAGGGAAGCTGGGCTGCTGTGTCTGAAGATGGCAGCAGAGGTGGCAGAGGAGGTGGCAGCACAAGGTACAGAGGCAACGGGGCAGTGGGAAGGGGGTGAAGTGGGGCAAACAAATGAGGATGTTTGTTAAATCACTTAAAAAGTTCATTGGACCCAAAGCAACAAAGCAACAATTTTTGATGAATGTCCTGGTTAATCTTTTTTGCTTCAGCCCCATCTCTATCGTGAAGCAAAACTTAGTGCTGTTAATCGCTTAGCTGACAGGCTTGAAAGTGTCATTAAAATAACATATGCAGGAATCACCTCATCGCAGGTCAGAAATGGTTTTAAACTATTGGCATGATAAATTGTGACTAGAGATGAGGCGATTCCTGTATGTGTTACTTGTGAGTAAGAGAAAAGTATAACAGATGGGAAGGGGAAGGTGACCATCCCTATTATGGAATCATTTTGATATTTGAATATTACTGTTCAAATTTTTTGATGTTCTGTACTTTTAGATTGTTAAGTACTTTTCCATGTCATTTTTCTATACAAAACTCTTTGAGAAGTGTTGGAAGCGTAAGCTTCAAATAAGAAAGCAGCTTCACAACAAACCATAAAAGGATCCATAGAGGCAGGACCAAAGGAAAAAAGGATTAGCGGAAGTCAGACCAGAGGAAGGAAGGGGGCTGTGAGCTCGAATGCAACTCGTATTGCAAACAGTACGAGGGGCGAACTCCTAAATCAGTCTGTAGCCCCTGTGCGAGCACTGATTGCAGTTTCAAATGTAATTAAAACAGGCTGCAAATCAAATTGCAGCAAAGCCAAATCATTTTGATTCAGAGCAGTCACACCCTAAATTGTATCCATGCATATGAGAACCAGCTCTTTCTGTGCCACATATATTTAGATTTAACAACTCTCTGTACTAGTGCAATGCAATTGCACATCATTATATTACACCAGGGTTGCAACATGGAGAGTTTTAAAAAGGGTGGCTATGTTTGACACCAGAAAGATGCACACCAGACAGCACCAAGCTCTAGATCTTTTAGTTTCAAATGATATCAGCACAATTGTCTAGGGTCTTCTATGCCCACCATATCAGTAAGAACAACTTTTTCATCAGCCCAGTCACTTCTGAAAAGTTGTACAAAGACTCATTGACTGAGCAGCATCACACATAAAGTATGGAAGTTGGTAAAAGGCACGAAGGCTTTGGTACATCAGGCCTATAAGAGCTCTGAACGTAAGGTATACCACAAGTTTCTTGTGGCTTGCCCCTCCACTAACAGGACAAGAGGCTTCGAGCCTTTGAGTGGTATCCTACTAGTTAAATCCTATACAGTAGATCAGTGGTTCTTAACCTTTGTTACTCGGATGTTTTTGAACTACAACTCCCAGAAACCCCAGCCTGTACACTTGGTGGTGAAGGCTTCTGGGAGTTGCAGTCCAAAAACACCTGAGTACCTCAAGGTTATGAACCAGTGCAGTAGATCATCAAATATTTTTCCTTTACTCATGATTGCTTTGATTACAGCAGAAAAAAAAGAAAAGGAAAAAAAAGATTCCACTGTTTTATAGCACTAAAACAAAGAAAGTCTAGGGCAGCGATGGCAAACCTATGGCACATGTGCCACTGCTGGCACGCAGAGCCCTCTCTGTGGACACGCGAACCATAAGTCACTGAATCGCTACTCCTGGCAGCCAAACCTGAAAAGGTGGCTGCAACCGCAGTGCTAGTGCCCCCATAGGTGGTGAGCCAGGATCCGGAGTAACTGCTGCTGGCGGGCCAGCCAGGCTATAGGCAGTGGTGGGGTTGGGCACAACTGGAGGTGGATCTGGAGTGGGGTCTGGAGGCACCTCTGTGCGCGGGATTCCCCCTTCCGCCACCCACTTCTGCTGCTGCCACTTCCACTTCCGCCACTGCCACCCGCTGCCCACTGTTTTTTTTTTCCAGTTTGGGCACTCAGGTTTGCCATCACTGGCCCAGGGTAACAAAAAACACAGTTTTGTAGGGAAGGACTGTGAGCTCTGTTGAGTTTTGGTGCTTTACCCAAAACAAATTCCTGGGCTCAGGAATCCCTGAGCATAGGCTTGGAACTGAAGAATTCAGTTCCAAGAATAGTTGATATATTGTAGGATTTTAATAATAACCAAGATGGACCCATAAGAAGATCAAGGTGCCCACCTTTTATTGCAAGTAA